AGGGAGCGGCGCCCGGCCCATCCCCCCGCGCCTTTGGGCGTGCCGGGGCCGGGCCCCGCGGGTTCGATACCCGCGCCGGCCGCCTCCGTCAGACCGCCATTTCCCAAGGGCTCTCCCCACGCAGAAGGGGACATCCTGCATCCTCTCATCGTCCCCCAGACATTTTTGCACGTCCCTTAACCAGGGCAGAGGGTCACAGGCGAGGGACCTGAGGCAATGGGGAGGTCATGATCGGTGCCCAGCGTGGGGCTTGGCAGGGTGACATCTGACTTAGCAGCTGATTCAAGAGATAGGCAGGAAAGGTAGGGACAAGGCGGTGTGCCTCCCGTAGCCATCAGGCCCTTCCTTCAGTCAGTCCCTCCCATCAGAGGTGGCTGCAACACACTGGTGGTGCTCACCCAGCGAACAAAGGATGAGACCATCCCAGTGCTGCTGGTCAGCCCTTTCCTTGGCCAGGAGGTCAAAGACAGGCTTGTCCTCGGGCAACTGGGGAAATAAGACTTCCTACTGTGCCAGCTCCTCGCTGCAGGGCTTTGCTTTGCTGGTGTGTCCTTGCTCCTGACGGTTCATACACAGGCTGGATCCCCTCCAGCTGCCCATGCAAACAGATTATGAGTGTGCACCACCTAACTGCAGAGCAAAAGCAGCACTGGGACAAGCTCACTACCCTGCAGGCCTCCACACAACACACATCACTGGGAGATTTCCTGCTTCACACAGGTGCAATGTAACATCAGCAATTCAAGGATTAAAGCAAAATTGTGCCAGTTGACACCAAGGTTTAGGCCCAAGTGAGGTTCCTCTGTCTTGCATGGGATACTTAAACAAACCCTAGATCTCCACCGCCATACAGCTCACCAGCCACAACCTAGCAGGCATATTCTGGCCAATTGGGAAGCCACAGCAAACACAAGATGGAGCTTTTAAAGATCAGTTCCCTTTACTGGCTAGAACAGCTTGGCTCTTCAGGGCTGACTGGTGTTAATCCAGCTGTTTTCCCAAATGCCTTTGTGCCTGCCCAGATGCAGCACTTCAGAGCTAAAGTCAGTCCTCATGCCCAAGCTTGCATTAGATTGCATCTATTAGCCAGATGCTACTACGCAACACCAATTTCCAAATCTATTATCTAGATGGTACCGAGTCAACCGGATTCAACACCCTCACAGGTGCGTAAATCTTAATCTAGGAAACTTTTCCTCACACAAGTCTATTCTTCAATACAGAAAAAAATAATTATCTGTGGAGGAAACCCAGGTGGAAATCCCTTGTGATCTCTTCTCTGTAGGGCCATATATTTCTGCTGATAGGTGGAGTTAGAAATTAATGCTCAATAATTTTTTGGGAAAAAAAAGTAATGTGCTCCATTCCAGTTTCTTTTATACCTGTGCCATAGGTGATCTTCAGTTGTCTTTGCATTTGTATGCTCACCTTGTGTGCTAGTATTTATTTCCCTGTAGGTCATGAAGCCCTTATATCCTCACATCCCTAGTGTCCCTCTGCTGGAACAGTCTTGCTCACTGTCCTGCTCCCCCTAAAAAAGTCAGCAATTTCTACACTGCATGGCTGGATGACACCATTTCACAGAATCAAGGTACCACCCTGAAAAAGCCTAAATTGGTTTCAGAATTCCCCTCTGCTGGTCCTCCACCAGGGCTGTAAAACCTACAGTTCCCTGCAGGTCAACAGAAACTGTGATTTTGGGGCATCTCCAGAGCTCTGCTTCATGCCTCAATGCAACTAATTCCCAGCAGGCACTCCTCTTTTGAAACCCCTGACAGGCTGACAAGTCCCAAATGTGTAATTCCACAGGCTCTTCTGGCTGTTTCACTTGGAACATTTCCACCTATTCTTCTGTTGCTGCTTGTGCTCGGTGCTTTTACATGATACTCTGCTAAAGCACAGGTGGCAGGAGGGGCTATGTTCAGAAAGACACCTCTGAGCTGTGTAAAGGCAAGCAGAGCAACAGACAGCTGAAACCAAGTTCAGATGAGCACTCTTGCAATGTCTGTTGAACAGGCACAGCCATTTTCTGCAGAGGGTACTTGCAAGCCACCTTCAGCAGAACCTGTTCTAATAAAATTACAAAACCAGGCAGAAAACATACCTTGTAAGATAATTTTGCAAGAAGACAAGATATGATCACTGGTCTGGTATGTCAGATTCGCAAGCAGTGCATCAGACTGCAAGCGGACTAGAAGCTGGGTTGCAACCACTGTATCTAGTGTATCCTCACGTAGAGGAGGAGAATAAAAAAGCACCAGCCTGAAGACAGACCTCATAAACACAACTAACCAAGAAGTCCCATCTCACACATACCTACTGTGAAATCCATGCTGACAGCAGGCTCTCAGATAGCTGCATACCACACAGAGCAAATACTTGCTTTATCTTTTGAAACATCAGGTCTGTTTTCTGCAGCAAGAAACAGCTTTTCCTCAAACAGCCCAGGATCATAATTCCTACCACTGATCTGAAAAACATAATAAACAGCAGTAAAACGTACTTCTCCCCCTTCCTGATACTTTAATGATATTCCCACCTGCTTTTCCACATCCAAGTTGAGCTTGGAGACAGCTATTTTCCACATCCTCAGTTGTTCAGAAGGCTTACACCAGTGCTGGGTCACCAGTGGGCTTGCCATGCCGCTTGGCATGTCTCTGGAGTTTTTTTACAGTGCATGACGTTATCCTAAGGCATGTTACCTCTGAGAAGAGACAGATCTTCAATGAAGCAAGAAGTAACTGAGCTGAATGCTGATTGTTGCTAACATAGTGGTGGTCCTCAGTGACAGAGGGGTGGAAGGGGCCTGATCAAGGCAAGAGTGGGTGGATCTGACCCTTTGAAGAGGTACTGCACCAACACTGGGGGTAACCCTGCTCTTCTGCATTTAGCCCTTAAAACGCATGATGAAACCACACACAAGCCCGTAGTAGGGCAACTGGGACAAAACCTGAGGCAGGGTTTGCTTGATGGATATGTCAAGCTCTCAAACAGGGCCATGGGAGAGAAGAGCTGAGGTTTCATTGTGAGCAGAATGGCTCAGGTCTATTATCTCTGTTAAAGGCCCCTTCTGAACAGGCTTAAACTCTTCATGCATGCTGAGACTGCTGAGAAATTCGAGAGCATTGTGTGTTGCAGCACAATCCCATGTTTTTTAAGCTTGAAGCATCAAAAATGAACTTAAAAACCAGTTTAAGGACACAGGTACCATGTTTGTCCACAGTTACACAGCAGAGATGCAACCCAATTAAAAGAGGACTAACCCTAAGCCATGTGGACATAAGCCATCCGTTGCCTCTTGACCTCAGGGCTGAGAACTGGTTCCTGCTTCCCTTTCATTTTGCAGTATATCTGTAGGCTTGAAATCTCTACTCTGTGGCCATGGCAGTCTTTCACAGGCATGTTGCATTCCCATATACAATTGCCTAAATCATCCCTAACTCTTGTACACAGTACTTCTCTCTGCTCTGTAAAACAGGAAATCCAATGACAAAATCTTCTAATGGCCGAGCAAATACCACCAAACAGTTCAGCATGGTTTGCCATGTATGGCCTCCCACAAATTCAGGAGGTGAAGGTAAGGTGAACTGCAGGGCCAGCTTTAAATCCACCTGTGTCAGATGCACTTGACTCCTTGACCAAACCCGTGGTAGCTTGGTTCAGGCTCCAAAGCAAGCAAAGGCCTTGCTGTAATGGGGCCAAAAACTCTAGTTCCAGCCCGTTCTCTGAAAACCCCCACAGGAACAGGGTGACATGGTGAGCATTGATGTGTATAGGCTTGGAAACTGGAACACCAATCATGCAATTAACACTTGAATAGCAGGTGGTTCTTTCAAGACTCATTTATCAAGGAACAAAGAAAGTTGTGGGTACAAGGAGTCTCATGCTTACCTTCTCCATCGCAGGTAATTTGACTATAAGCCAAGCACTGTATTCCATAAATAGCGTGAGTGAGCCAGCTTTGAGCTCTCCCTGCTAAGCAGTTGGCTGCACAGCAGTGATCTCCCCTTAAGGTGGGACGCCTCTCGAGGTTACTCCTCAAGACTGAGAGACCTCCTACCAACTGTGAGTCTTTGGTAAGTGACCAATATTGCACATAACCTTGTATTATAGTGCACTAGATTTTGTGTTGGTAAGTTTCATTTTATGTTAGTAACTTTGAATTATTATTATATACTCTGCAGTAAGTAATAGAGTGAACCTTGCCATTGACCTTTGTTAAGTCTCACTTTTACAACACCTTACTTCAACAAAACCACTTTTGCCGATACCTTTGGTAGTGGTTCTTCAAGCAGTCTAAGTTGCCTGTCTGCAACACCACCTTCTCTTCTTTGCACAAGGCTTCAACACATTCAAAAGCCACACACCTGCACCATTTGCATCCCTTGCTCCATATCAGAGCCACTCCTGCATCTGCACACAGTGTCACCTGATGTAGCTTGTTTCTCTTACCAACAAACCACATAGCAGGGACTTCTGTGGCCCACCTGTCACACAATACACAATATAGCACTGAAATGAGGCACACTCAATTTCTCAAGGATTACTCTGTGTGTCACCGCATGGAGTGGGATGCAACCCAACAAAAACCAGTCATCTCTCTCCTGCAGCAGCAGGGCTTGCCCAGTTTACTTTGTAGCATGAATACAGCTCTGCAAAATTGTTCTGATTATTCTCATCTCTGTTGAAGATTATCCGTCCCACTGGATCCATCAGGCTTAGATATATTTTACTAATTTTTAGCCCCCAAATAGGAAGACTTGTACTCATCATGAACTTCAGAAATCTTTTGCTAACTCAGCATTATGGAAGGGCACAGAAAGCATCAACTAACCATTGCTCTGCATTGGTCATGTCTCTGCTGCAGATGGCAAAGCAGCATGACTTCTTCCAGTGCACTGTGAACTTTGTTTGCAAATGAAGAGGTGGGAGGAAAGACCAGGAGCACAGAAATTATGTGGGAAAAGTTTGATGCCTGTTCTCATGACAAACAGTTCTAATTCTGTTCACTACAAACGTAACAAACGTAAATTTTAAAAATGATCAGGTGAAAGGCATTTTAGTTGAATGTAATTAGCACCACAGACTGAAGTGTACTATTTTCTGCGTAGTAGTCCCTTCCAGCGTGCAAATCTCCAGGTACATGACGTGTTGACAGTAGGAAAGCTTTGCCTATAAGGTCTTTTTCCTGCACTTCTGAACTCCACACTGACAGGAAATCTCTGTCTCTGGCATGCTTCCAGCTTCATAACCATAATCCCACGTAAGCTCGGTTCCAGCTTTGACATGCCTAAGAAATTAAAATATTTGGTCAATTTGTTTGAACTAAGTGAAACAGTACTGTGCTTACAATTTGTCAGCAACTCGCATGCAAACCCCAAAATCGTAAGGGGCAGGGAGCATTGCACAGGCAGCTTGTTAGGAAAGCACATAGAGAGGTAGGAAGTGGCTGGCACATGCATGCTGCTTGGCCTACCAGAGCTATGGAGAGCACAAATACCCACGAACTATGAGAAAATAATTCATCAAGCGATAGGGTCAGAGTCAAAACAACTTGCTTTAACTTCAAAGCTAATTCTGGAAAGAAAAATGAAACAAAAAAAAGAAGGAAAAAACACTTAAGTGAATACAGCTAAATGAGGGCACAGACAGTTTGGCTATTTTTACTATCCCACTGGATATGATAAAAGGGACATCCAGTGAATAAGCAGGCAGCAGGCTGAGAACAAACAAGATGAGGACTTTTCAATCAGCACATTAATTGCAATCTGGGACTTGCTGCCTTAAGATTGTTCTGGAGGCCAGAAATGTAAAACAACTAAAAGGTGACTGGATAAATTCATGGAAGATACACAATTAAGCTCGATGATCCAGATGGAGTCCTTAATGTAGAAAAGTTCTAAAGGGGTGATTTCCAGAAAGCAAGAGGGCCATCCAGGAGAAAATTCCTTCAACAATCTTCTTCCCTGTGTCTTCTGCTGACCACTATTACATCTCTCCACTGGCCTCAGTCCCCACTACACACTTCTTTACCTGAGCAAAGACTTAGCTAAACCAAAATATTTTTCCTGACATATTTAAAAATGTTGTCTTCACTGTTCAGAACATCACTAAATAGCTTGTGTTGAAAGGCACCTTTAAGATCATCTAGTTCCAACCTCCCTGCCACGGGCAGGGACACCTTCCACTAGACCAGGTTGCTCAAACACCGTCCAACCTGGCCTTGAACCTTCCAGGGAGGGGGCAGCCCACAACTTCTCCGGGCAACATGTTCCAGTGTCACCACCCTCACAGTAAAGAATTTCGTCCTCATACCTAGTCTAAATCTACCCTCTTTCAGTTTAAAACCATCAACCCTCATCCTATCATTGATTAAAAAGTCCCTCCCCACCTTTCCTGTAGTGCCACTTTAGGTACTGGAAGGCTGCTATAAGGTCTCCCTGGAGCCTTCTCTTCTCCAGGCTGAACAACACCAACTCTCTCAGCCTCTAAGGGAGGTGCTCCAGCCCCTGATCATCTTTGTGGCCTTCTTCTGGACTCACTCGAGTAGGTCCATGTCTTTCTTATGTTGGCGTCTCCAGAGCTGGACACTGCACCCCAGGTGGGTCTCCCAAGAGCAGAGTAGAGGGGGAGAATCACCTCCCTCGACCTGCTGGCCACACTTCTCTTGATGCAGCCCAGGACACAGTTGGCTTTCTGGGCTGCAAGTGCACATTGCTGCTCATAGTCAATTTATCATCCACTGATAGCCCAAGTCCTTCTCCACAGGGCTGCTCTCAATCCACTCATTACCCAGCCTGTATTTGGCTTGGCATTGTTCAAACCCAGTGCAGGACCTTGCACTTGGCCTTGATGAACTTCATGAGGTTCACACGGGCCCACTTCTCCAGCCTGTCAGGGTCCTTCTGGATGGCACATCCCTTCCCTGCAGAGTGTCAATGGCAGCACACAGCTTGGTGTCATCAGCAAACTTGCTGAGGGTGCCCTCAATCTCACTGTCCATGTTCCTGACAAAGATGTTCAACAGCACAGGTTCCAACACTGACCCCCGAGGAACGCCACTCATCACTGCTCTCCACTTGGACACTGAGCCCTTGACTGCAACTCTTTGAGTGTGACCATCCAGCCAATTCCTTATCCACTGAGTGATTCTTCTGTCAAATCCACGTCTCTCCAATTTAGAGACAAAGATGTCATATGGGACAGTTTCAATGACATCTGTTGCTCTTCCCTTAACCACCAATGCTGTAACCCCATCATAAAAGACTACCAGATTTTTCAGGCACGATCTGCCCTCAGTGAAGCCACGTTGGCTGTCAACAATCACTTCCTTATTTTCCATGTGCCCTAGCATAGTTTTCAGGAGGATCCACTCTATGATCTTGCTGCGCACAGAGGTGAGACTGACTGGCCTGTAGTTGCCTGGGTCTTCTTTTTTTCCCCTTTTTAAAAATAGAGACTGTATTTCCCCCTTTCCAGAACTTCATCAGACTTCCACAACTTCTCAAATATGATGGATAGTGGCTTAGCCACTTCATCCACCAGTTCCCTCAGGACCCACAGATGCATCTCATAAGGTCCCATGGACTTGTGCACCTTCAGGTTCCATAGTCATTCTCAAACCTGATCTTCTCCTGCATGGGTGGCTCTTCATCCTCCCAGTCCCTGCCTTTGTCTTCTGTGTCTTGGGTGGTTTGGCTGGAGCACTTGCCACTGAAGACCGAAGCAAAAAAGTTTAGTACCTCAGCCTTCTCCATGTCCCAGTTAACCAGGTCTCCCATTTCCTTCCAGAGACAGACTGCATTTTTCCTAGTCTTCCTTTATGACCGATATACCTATGGAAGCTTTTCTTGTTGTTTCTGACATCCCTGGCCTGATTTAACTCTATCAGGGCTTTGGCCTTCCTAACCTGATCCTTGGCTGTTTGGACAATTTCTCTGTATTCCTCCCAGTATTCCTCTTCTGCATTCTTCTCTGTATTCCTTCCAGTCTTACAGCCCTTCTCATATCACAATCCACAGCATCTGTGTCAGTATGAACCAGGGTTGCAAGGCTCCAAAGAGAATCAGTGTCCCCTGGGGTCTGTTTGTCTGGAGCAAATCCTCTCCCCTCTGTTGTAATTCTTACCTGGTACTCCCGCTGTCATGCGCCTCAGCGAGCCTCATATATACAATTAATCCTTCCACAACTGAGTTTAGCTGCCACCCTCTTGTATCTCACTGGCACCAACTAACTGTACCTCATTTTCTGTCATCTGTTAAGGGAAGACCCAACTCTTTTGCTTTCAGAGGAAGTTTTCACCCCTGAGTATCCTATTGCCACCTCCCCAGGACATGTGCTACACAAAGTCTTGCTCCTCTTGGCAGCTGCGTGAAGAAGGCCTGGAGCCTGTCTGTTTGACCCACAGAGTGTCTCATCCTTAAGACTCTGTAGGGTCCAATCTGGCACTGTGGGACCCAGATCTGCTGGCCATTCCTTGAGACACAACACTTGGAACAGTGAATCTTGTCTTTCAAAATGACCATGCTGAGTTAAACCTATTTTTCCACTAAAGATTATTACTGAAATGAAGGCATCAAATTTAAAACTTCCCCACTTTACAATTCAGTGAAAAACCTCTCATTTAGTGATAATCATCAACTGTATAACTTCAGTCTTTAGTGCACAGCAAGAAGACACCAATAAGAAGGTAGATTTATGGTTTCATGATCTAAGTGTGAAGTGCTAAGTCTTGGACAACAGGCCCGAGCCAGAGTTGACCTATAGATGAATCCTGTATATCCTGTATATTTTATAACATTGTGCTAGTAGTAACAAACCACCTAAGCTGATGTATAAAGTGCTAAAGTGTTCAAGTATTGAAGCCTGAACAACAGGCCCCGAGCCAAAGCTGCTAACTTAGTATGTAGTCATTAGTGAAATACGTATGCTTTTTAATGAAATATGTAGTTTAGATAGCACAGAACATGTCTATCCTGAATGTATCTTTATCCTTCTTTGTGTAGGTGCAAGTTCACATGGCCATGGAGCCAGCTGTCTGTGCGACCTTGCTCATAAACCAATCAGGTAAGCAGGTAAACTCCCTTAGCTTCTCCCTTGAGGCCTGGCCAGGCTCTGGGGGAATCTAATGCGAGAGTGAAACCAGATGTTTCCGCTCAGAACAAAGGTGCCAGCTATTCCATCTTGCTGATTTTGGGGTATGTAAGGCTGGATCCACTCACAGTGACTTTGGAAGCCTCAGCTACGGGTGGACGCACTGTGTAGGATTTCCCACTTGCCGGGACAGGCTCCCCAAACCCTCGCTGTAACCGGGGCTGCCCAGCGACTGCGGGTCTGGATGATGGTAACGTATGCAAGTGGTGATGGATCTTTCTTAATCACTATTCTCTCTCACATGTAGTAATGATCTGATGCACTACCCTGTATTTTCCTATTTGTTTGCTTTAAGTGCACTATTCTGCCTTTTACTGTATGTTTTCTGTATTACTCTGTAACATTATTTAGTTATCCCAGTAAAATACACCTACTCTTTTCACTCTGTGTCTGAGTTTAATCAGCAAAACAAAGTGTCTGCACACCCCTGGCATAATCATTTCCTAATAACTAAACACTGCTTTTTCTCCTAGTGCCTTGAATGAACAACATTAAACTTCCAAAAATTCACCTGTTTGTGAAGAACGCCACCCATGGGAAACTTCTGTTGTGAGTCTCTACAAACACACTCTGTGCAAAGAGATTTGGGCAGCAGCTGTGCTGTAAAACAGAATATTTGAATTAGAAACAGTGAAACACCTTGCTGTTGGCTAAAGAACCTATTTTGTCAGGTATCTGTCACTAGTAAAGGTAGTTTCTTTCTTCCCTTCTCCAGCCCACACAGATCTCTCTTACTCAATGCCACTGCCACTGATTTTTACAGTAACTGTGCCTCTTTAAAGTATTATTTCCATCATATTATGAAGGTACTTTTGCCTCGGAAAACCAAGTTGTTTCACCAAGCTGTCCTCCAGAATGTATACTGAGAACTGATCTTAGATTCAGGATGCACCATAAATAATCAATGTGACAGACCTATCTTGCTGTCAGCCAGGGGTGCAGTGCTAGGGAGCAAGAAATAGATTAACTGATTGTGTATGTTGGCAAAGAGATGTGAGATGTGAAAGGTCATTCAGGTGCATGCAGGAACATGTGTATGCTCATGGATGCATGAACGGTGTCAACAAGATGCACCACTAATCTTAACATCATAGTATCTCTGCAATGAAGAACAGCTTAAACATATAAAATATTTAGCAGATACATACACACTATGACAGACCATTTTCTGAAACTATGATTGAATGGCAGAGAAATTTCCTACAATATCACAACATTTATCCTAAATAAGTACAAGCTATAATTTACAATGGTTGGGGAACAAAAAATGAGGGTGGGAGAAGGCTTGTGGTTCAACAAAATCTGCCATTTGCTCTCTGGACCCCCAAAAAAGGCCGTTCAAAAACTCAGGAGAAGGATGTCACTCATTACTGGGGAATATTTCACTCAGGAACCTAGTGGTGTCAAAAGTTACAGGTAGTATGTAGCACACATCATTTTATGGAGGCATTAACAGCTGCTGTGACCCAACCTGCTGCCTGTCCCTTCAGAGTGCAGGAAGTACCACATAGCCTGCCTCATCGTGCACCTACCACACATATGGTTTACGTGCAAAAGCTTTCTAGTTTATGCAAGTACATCATTTATTTATTTAAGCTGAGATAACTAAAAGAACACATGCAACTTCTTACTTACATTAAGAAAACGACCCACATTTCCTTCTTTTGTGGCATCCAGTACATAAATATTTTCATTAGCATTCTTCATAAGTGTCGTATCACCATCAGTCTCCTCACAAATTGCCTCTCGTTTTGACTGCCTGTGATTTTCCTCTTTGCAGTCAGTTTTTAGTGGTAGAGTTTTGGATGGCCTCAAAACACATGTGTCATCCAGCACACCTGACTTGCCACAATCAACACCCTGCAGAGACAGACTCTTTCTTTTGCATTCTGCACCATCCATGTTAGCAGACTCAGTCTGTCCAATTTCCATTGGATATTCTTCCTTCTGCTGCTGAGTGAGTTCTGTCAATGAACACGCAAATTATTTGTCAACACTAGTTTAAGGCCAAAACCTTTCCCTTGTTTGGTCCTGAACTCTTATCCACCCACCATTCATTCTTCAAAATGTATGCAGCTTCCTTGCTATTTACAAGTCTGTAACACAACTACCCTTTTCCATGTCTCTCATCAATCCTCCCACAAATGACTGTTTCCTGCTATGGTGCCTAAAGCACTTATTCAAGACTCCTGTGAGTGACCTAGTCTCTCATTCTTCTCAAATCCCATTCCAGATTGACTTCTTCTATACATCATTTTATCGCTGCTCTCCACCTTACCGGAGAAATTCCCAAACTGTAATTAAAACAGAAACAGGATGCATGTGCAAATAGCATCAGTTTCACACTGTCTCTCCAACTTGAGGTCCCCCCACCCCTGCATTATATCCTGTTCAATTTTGTTGACTGGAACACGTGTTGGGTGTGACACAGTAAGATTTGAAAGACTGACTTTCCCACAATTGCACTGTATTTGAGAAGCTGCTGTCAGGAATGTTCAGCATGACCCAAGATCAACTTTGCAGGCACAAGACTGCCCTGTACCAGTTAATGTACTGCATTATGCAAGGCAGCAATAATTCCTGTACTGCTGAGCTCTCTTAAGACAGCCTAAGCATTATGTGGACATCACTCTACTCTGAGAATATGTCTGCCCACATCCAAAGATCACTTTCTACATTTTAAGTCTTATCAGCTGATGGGGCACAATTGTACTAAGAGTGCAGTATTTATAGCTCTGTAAACCTACTTTCTTTTCCTTTCTTTGTTCCACTGGTTAGTTTTGTTTTGCTTGACTGATGAATCTGAGAACTATTATCTTCATCTGAGCTGGCACTGTGCACCAGTGTATCAATCTCCTTTAAACAGAATAAAAGATAATGAAAAGGCTGTGATACATTGTTGCTGTATGCAACTCTGGGTCAACACAGGATAGCAAGTGGCTTTTAGGACTCTAAGGTTGAAGTTTCAAACCTACTATAATGCATGGCTATGGCTGAGTTTCAAAAGTTCATACATTTACTGCAATGCAACATTTATCTTCATTTCAAATTATCCTTCCAAATAACCTGGAAGGAGCTCTCCACTCAATAAAACATTTAAATAAGTGCTTAAGTCCCAACAATTTCACCAGAATTTAAACACACTTGTCTAAGTTGCTGAACCAAAGCCCAAAGATGCTTTTTACACAGTTTGAATAAAACAAACAGATGTAGCAAGATTTATTCTCTTCCACCACAAAAATGCAATTAGTTATGGGAGCTCCAGAATAGACAGCACCGCCAAATGTCCACGTGCATTTCTTAAGTGCAATGAAACCAATGAAACCTACAGAGTAAGTTTACTCCAGTTTCCTTTTTTTGCATGTATTTGCAGACAACGCTTCATACCCAGGTTAGATCAAATTCTCCCAACTGTGCCACTGCATGAGAAAAGTGCATCCAACTCCTGAGATTTTCTTCTCTCCCTGCTATGTCATTCTTTGGGGAGACATCACAAAAATATAACCACTCTGGCCCCCTAACCCTGGAGTTAATTACAACGGGGGGTGGAGGGCAAGAGTGATTTCTTAAGACTCTCAAGGCTGGCATGTAAGTGAAGGGCAGAGATGGGAAAGCTGTGGGAGCAGTTAGTGCTTGTCTCAGGGAACATGCTGAAGGACTGACATATAGCTTCCAGTACACCAGCTTAGCTCACAGTGTGTGTGTGACAATCTCATGAAGAAAGATCATTAGAACTATTTAAATGTATAAGATGAAAAGGTCAACATTAACATACATATTCAGGACAGTGAAAAACGAATCCATTAAAGCCACTTATTATTACCATTTTTAGCTGATGATTATGAAAAGCAACTGTTCTAGTTCCAGGCCTTCTCGTTGTTGCAATACCTAAATCCCTCAGATGAACCCTGTATAAAAGGTCAAAAGGAAATTATAAAAGACAGAAAGACCCCTAAGTAACACTCGCAACACACATTTCTCCAACAGTCTCTAGTTCATAAAGAACAGACTACACCAGAGCCTGCAGCCAGGTCTCACCCCAAGTTCTGTGACTATTTTGCCTTTTAGAATTGAGGATCTAGGTTAAGTTCTCAATAGTATTTGTTAAAAAAAACTCCAGTTCTTCATGCTTTTTTGAGAGAACAGCAGATGCTTTTACCTCCTTTTCCAGTTCTCCAGCCAAGAACCAAATTCTCTTACTATTAATATATCAGATCATCTCAAAATAGAGCACCTACAGAGTTTTATCTTTTTCCTGATACCACTTTCAGCAGTTTTGACAGTGCAGCTTTAAAAACAGGAAGGCAAAACTGTTGCAGGGACAAGGAATAGACAGAGACACAGAGGGTGAGACAGGCAATATATGGCAGATATAGAAAATACTCTCCCACAGAAGAACCTCACTCCTTCACATCAAGAGAAGGTTGAGGAAGAATGGAAATCAGTATCTGGCACATGTATTTAAAACATCTAATATCACTTTCATTTGGATTATGTTCAGAGTGCAGTAGAAAACACATTTCAAAACTGATCTTAGTATCTGTACAATGTCTAGCAATAAATAAACAGCTTTTATTTGAGAAAACTGTAAATGAAAAACGTTTATATGTGTTTTCTTGCCACAAAAGCCCTCACGGCACTTCTCTGGGCTACTAATAAAGGCAACAAATGCTACTCTTTAAGGCTTTCTTATGACTTAAAAACCTCTGTAAATTCAAAAGGTGCAGTAGCCACAAGAAATTGTGACCTTATTACATGATTACATTGTTTGTCCTTCTAAAGGCAATCTGTTTGGCTGAATGACATGCCAAGCTTAGCACACTGATGTCCTCTCAAAGGTTCCTCAGTTCAGCTGGGTTGTCATTTCTTAAGAGGCAGAATAACAAAGTCGTCTTGCCTGTTTTATGTTTTACATAGCCCACATGTGAAGCACTTTTATTCTCAAGAAAGGAAATTTATAAGATTTAAGGTAGCAGTGCAGTAAATGCAACTTTAAAACTGTGCTTCCCTGCAATTTTTAGTAACAGCACGTAGAAGTAAAATCGAGATGATTATTGATAATTAAGTAAATGACAAAATTATTAATTCATTAGGTTTCCAAAATACTGAAATGCAAGTGAGAATATACTTGCAGGTATTTAAAAAAGTTTCTATTTGCAATTTCATGGTGCTTCTTTTGACAATAATGTCCTACTATGAAATGAGCAAGAATTTGCAATCATTTATGACTAGTACAAAGAAAGTCTTTACAAAATACTGTGACAGAGCAAGGAATAAAGTTTAAGAAAATAAGATCCCAACTTCCCTCTGAAAAGACAACAGCATACTACTGACAAAGCCACAGGGTTATTTTGCAGCAATTTTACTTTAGGAATCTTGATAGGCTATGACACTCTGACTGTCAAATGAAAACAGGACCAGAACTTTTGTGTAATTCACTGCAAAAGTGAGGTGTCATCACAGTCCTGCAGGAAGGGTTATGTTACAAAGAACAAGAGGTTTAGAGACTGGGAGTAAAGGACAGGAAAGTTAGCGGCTAATTAGTTATCAGACACTTTCATGTCGAGTATTTCATCGAGTATCTTTAAATCATTTATCTCAAGTATCTTTTAAATTCTTTCAAATTAGTATAATGCCCTGAATAGATCAACTATACCTAGGAAATGAATTGGATTTCTAGAAAACGCCAAGTGGTACACACAGTAAGTAAAATTAATACAGAGGAAAAACTCTGTCCCACTAGAAGAAATAATCAGGGATTAACAAAAAAATTGAGGAAGAAGAAAACCCACCCTCAGCTGAGGACATTCAGTTCTACTCTGAAGTTTTACAAAGGACTTTCTAGAATAGCAGAATATTAGTTTTGTTATGCTTAAATTTGCTTTGGTAAACTTACTGGGTTGATTTGTTTGCACTATGCACAGTCCAAGACGAAGATTCCTGCTTCTCAGGAATGTCATTTTTGCCAGTCTGCACTAGTTCAATCACACAATCTGAAGAATCAGTGTCAACTTTTCTTTTTTTGAAAAAAGCGCCATGGCCTCTGTCATTCACAGTACTCTTCTCTTTCAGCTCTTGACCAGCATCTCCCAGTACTTGAACTTCAGATCGGCTCATTAATCTGCCTGGAAGAAAAAGATTTTTTTTTTTTAAACTGTATGTCACACTATCACAGCTCAAGCTTACATTAAAAAAATACAAGGACATTATTTGGGAAAGCAAAATATAAATGCAGTTAATACTGAAGGAAAACTAGTCCTGGCACAGGATGCACAGATCCTCGAGGGAAAAATCAACAGTCTGAGATAGGCTTTACTCCAGGATGTTTTGATTATTTCTCCAGCACCATTGCAGTGTGGAGTTCTTCAAGGTTCTTCTGTCTGTTTGATCACTTTGCAGGTTAAGATAATACTGACTCGCTTCTCTTCCAACCCTGTATTTCTCTGCTTGGTTCTCAAAAATATTCCAGGGCACAGGCCACAGAGAGGAAGAATTATGCTATGCATCTTCCACAGGTCACCTTCTGTTACCTGAGTAAGTACAAACAAATGTCCCCTTGTCGATATCATCTAGGCAGCGGACGCCCCAGCCTTTCTTCTCTGTGTTGAACACTTGCAACCTGACTTGAATGCCATGCTGTACAACTCTGTTCTGACACATCAGTTTGTCACACCTGCACAACACACTACACTCATAAATTCTGTTGAAAGGAAGCAAAACAAAACACAACGTAAAAGAATGAATTACCAAAACAAAGTTGCTATTATTACTTTCCCTCCTCAGCATTAATAAAGCAGTTGACTAAAAAGATAAAGACTCTGGCTGAAACTGATTGTGCAGCAATGCTCTGAATGAAGCTCATGACATTCTTGATTGTTGATTCATTAAGAGTCTGTCAGCCAGATTTTGATATAGGTAGACAGGAAAAAATAAATGCTACCTTTTTATTTTATAGGATTAAATTACACAGAAGCAGAAACCCTTATGAAGCACCTCATTCTATGCTGGAACAGATTTTAGCAAAGACAACCTGTCCGCCTGGACCTAACTGTAGCTCTCATGAGTCTTAGGATTTAACAAAATATTTCTAAAAGAATTCACAATTGTGCTTTTTTTGCCTTTGTTTCTGGATTCACTGCAGCTTTAATTCTGCATGCCAACCATAAATTCACATCACACAGCAACAAAGGACTGAAAGAGGCTCCTTAAGCCTGTGTTCAGCCCTCGGCTACTGCAGAAAGCCACCTTGCACAATTCCTCTCCTAAACACCTGAGGTTACTGGCACCTTCCCTAGGCCACATATTAATCCATGGGAGCTGAATAAGAGAGAGGACAAACACTTGCAGCACTGGGGCAGCCTTGGAGACTCTTGGAATAATCATACATAACCAAGTCTGGCAACAGCAGCTGGCTGATGTTTCTTTAGGACTCTGGTGATACAGAGCAAATGGGTGGACAAGATACAGGGCAAAAAGCAAGGGTGACTACTGCTTCCCATTTCTTTGGCTGATATATGCTGTGCTGATCGTGTGATAGACCTCATTCCCTTGCGGCAGGTCTCCTTCCCCTCTCCCTTCCCCCCTTGGCATGCCTGAATGAACCAACACATGGGCCAGATATGGCCTGAGCTCCTGAACCAGCTAATACTACGTTACACTTCACACTCTCCTTGGACCTTGAACTAAGCTGTGAAAATTGTAGTATCTGCAGTACAAAAGTGGGTTTTTCCTCCTATTACTCAAGTCACATTTATTATTTTTTATCATCCTGATCTGTCAGTAGAATTGTGACAAAAATGGAAGGTTTCAGTAATCCAGAAACTGCAGTAAGTGCTACAGGACTAGAACTACACTACAGGTGTAAAATAAGAGCACACAAATAAAATAACAGTTATAGTTTGATCCTTCTTACCCACTAGGAACAGGTCCCTCCAGTCTTTTGTAACTGTATCCACGGGATGTTTTAATACTTGGAGCTACAGAAATTTTACTACAGCCTTTTGCTGTTAGCTGTAGGCATGCACATTTTGACCTAAAAAATAACAGTAAAACATCTCAGAATGTATCTGGGGCAGCGTAAATACAATATAAATCTAGATAATTTAAAATGTACTTGACTATACTTCACACACACTTTTATATATACCTATATTCCCCCAGACCCCTTCACTCCTCAAGGCAATTTCAGGCACCCTGCCCTTCTCCTGGTGTCTTGGCTGGTCATGTGTGCTTTACAGTTATCATGCTCTCTCCACCCAAACCTCATTCTTCTGTCAAGCTCTTTAAAAGGCACATGCAAACAGCTGAAGTACAACTGAAATTTATTATAAACAGGACACTGTCAAATGGACCGAATGAAAATTACCTGTTCTGGCACAGCATCCCAGCCTGTTAGCCACTCCTTTGCTACCTTCCTCCCACCCTAGCCCCTAGAAATTAAGAATTTCACACTGTGGAGTGGAGAACTCAAGCAATAATGCTGGTCTTCACCATCTTATGTCATGACAAATCCAAAGACCCACAGCTTTTGTGCAAACAGCAATGGACCAAATCCCAAACCCAAAAACCACACATCAAAAGCACCTCAACTCTTGCGAGAGTTCAGTGCAAAGCAGCAGCATGCTACATGCTTGCTGTTCCCCACTGCTCAGCTGGATCTAAATAACTCTAATTACTGAAGCTTCATTATACTAGGCTGTGATTTCAAGCTTTTCTTAGGTCATGGGCAATTACACTGCACAACAGCACGTGGAACTGCCCTAGCTATCAATAATACAAAACAGATTCAACACCAAGTAAGAGAGATCAGGTCAAAGACAAACACCCTCCAAGAAAGCAGACAAAATTATCACCAAACTCACATATGTGAACTGTGGCAGGTTCCCACAGAGTAATATGTAGCCCCAAGTTACTGGACTTTAGAAAAAGACAGCAATGAGCAACATCATTTGATGAATTGTGCAGAACATCAATGTGTTCTGTGACCACAGGGTTTCTGAGTTTCTGATTAGACACGGAGAAGGATGGGATATAGAGGTTGTGAACGGGGATGTTTCTTCCTCTTCCCTCAGTAACCTCCTAAGTTCCAAATGATCTGGTCTCTCCAGGCTTTCTCATCCCATCTCTAGGATACCATCTCACATCAGGAGCTGCAGCAGAAGTTGTCAACCAGGCTCCTTCCCTGCCTACCAGGAAAATGAGCCTTCCTCTGCTGGCACAACACTCTCCCTTCCCCACTCCCTTCCCAAAGCCGAGAGATCTGCTTCCCAGCTCCACCTGGAGGAGAAACACTGCCAATTTGAGAAGAAAGGGAAAGGAACACAATAATCCACCTGTTGATCGCTTCCTTCCCTACAACAGAGGCTGGATGGGTAGGAGCACCCAAGTTCTGGAGAAGACAAAGACAAAGACACAGTGGTGTCAGTCAACAGAGCATGGCAGAAGACAACCACCACAGATATTTCAGTGTGTCAGTCCTTTGTTATTTGGCAGTGTTTGGTACTGCAGGCCTTCACACTTACACCACCACCCTACTATTGAGGCATCCATTTGTTTGGGAGTAGACTTTTCTACCTACCTATCAATGCAACCATCTGTGCAATCACATGAATCAACAAACATGCTGGAGAAATTGTTGAGATAATATCCACGCGGCCACGATGCCCTCCGATATTTGAAATAAGGTAGTCTTGCACGGTCAAGATCATTACAGAAGGAAATGGGGACAGACTCGGCTCCATTGCTAATATCAAAATCAAACACAAGGGGTTCAGGATTTACAGTGTTCCTGCCCAACAGTACGTATGTGTTGAAGGAGAAGTGATCAACAAATAAGAAATTGCACTCTGTTTCAAACAAATAATTTTGCACATCTTGAAAGCTTCTCAGACTTCGACCACAAGGAGCTTTGTAATTCACATCCAGTGATTTTGAAAGGCAATCTGCTTTTGCATGGCGTCTTTGAAAGTGAAACAGGATTGGTATCTTAAGAGGATTTTCGCCCTTGTAGAAGCCCGCTGATCTCTTGGCAAGACATGCACTAGAGCACTTGTGGTGCTGATACTGTGGGTTTAAAGGTAAATCCTGAATTTCACTAGATGCTTCTTTACTCCCTGAACATGTTTTTTCCATCTCTTCCTTTTTGCTATTTGGACTAAAAGAGAAAAGAAAAAAAAAAAAAGAGCAGAAGAGCAGTATGTTAGACAGCCAGTAAAATAATGGGTTTTAGTGGTTCAATATTATTAGTGCAGGAAAGAAACAGCCTGTTGCTAGAAGGTCAAGGGTTTCACTGAATCACTTGTTTGCATTGTGTTGCTGTCATAACATCACACGAAGACATATTCAGTGGCATTAAGAAAGAAAAAACAAAATGCAAGAGCTTCTTCCCAGAAAGAACTTAGACATTAAACCACAGAACAGACATTAAAAAAGAAGAAAAAAACCCAAAGGAACAATATCTGTACCCACATCTTCCAAATCAGTACCCAAGTCTAAATACAGAGAGACTAAGTCATGTGCCTGAGAATCTGCACAGTCTGTGAAAGCCTGAGAACTGAACTCAAAAACTGTTGAGTCCTAACCCTGATAATACTCATGGATCTTTATTCACAACCTAATGCCCTGTTTTACTCTGCAACACTCTCACATGGTAAATTAGACAAGTCTACTCAAAACCTCAGGTATTCCACGTAGGTCAAATTAAAAATATTTTCACTTTGAAAACTGGCAGAATTCAAAACTGGGTTTACAATGTTGAATTTAGAAATAGAAGAGAGATTAAAATCTCTCTCAAATGCACTAAAGAGTATGTCAAATAAGGAACTGGAATAAACTATTCAATACACCGACCTGTGAGAACCTTCTACAGAGTCTGCAGCGTTGTCATCTGTAAGACAGTGTGATTTGGGTTTGGTTTCCTGTACACCATCTCCATCAAACACATCACTTACTGAAAAAAAGAATTGAATGCAAGCAAAAAATTCAGCAATCCACATTTCAATTTATAATCAAACTTAGTTACTAAAAGAGATAACTGTCAAAATACATTAAAAACAATGCATTGCTATGAACTACAGCTGACAAAGAGCATGCCAGCAAGTGCCCTACTAAAAAAGAGAAGCTGCTTTTTATAACTAAGTCACGTGTTTGCATATAGGTGTGCAAGCGAGCAATTGCTGACACACAACACACACTCTCACACTTACTCTCTTGCTCCTCTACTCTCCCTCCATCTCTCTCCTTCCCTTTCCCCAAAGGGGAAAAACTTAGGTGTGTGTTGACAAATTTGAGGCAGAAATGCATCATGAAGATCATATCCACCAGGTGATCTGAACATTAAAAATCTTCCATGCAGTTTTCAAAGAGCACGGAGACAACACGCATATGAAATGCATATACATATTTCTCTTTGTTATCTTAAGTGAAAGGATGCCAGGGTGTTATAGCTAGAGGAGCTATGCACAAGATGACTCTGCCTGCAGCTAGCTCAGGTTCATCAGGGTTTACTAATCCAGGTGAGAGACTTCAGCCCAGTATCTGAGGAAACTAAAAATTATGGGTTTTTTTCCCTTGTAATGCTAACTATTTTTGTGATTTCAACAAAGTGAAATAAGCTCCTGGTGGGTAAAACAAGACAAATTGAATCCATGGACCAAGAAAATATAATTGAGATGCACATACCATTTGTCAAGGTTAAGAGATCACCTAGATTAGCTTCATTCACCAGTGCCCAAGCCTGCCAGCATTCTATGTAAAAAAAAAAAAACAAAACAAATAAGTGTAATTTAAGTAATGATAATAGGGACAATGAGAATAGGAAAAACAAGGTATAAGTCCTCCACAGATGCGAATCTGATACTCTTAGAAACCTTTTGCACCACAGTCTTTAATAGAAACACCTACAAATTACAGTAAAATTACAGCATATTAGTAGTTGTGAATCAGCACCAAATATCCTCCAGCTTCTGGAAAGCTGCTGGAATGCTTCCAAACACACACAAACCAGTAGCCTCCAGTGGCAGTAATGTACATAAACACAAATTCAGTGTAAGTTTCTCCCTTTACTTTGTCATCAGACTAGTCATTTTCCTGCTAAGAAGGGCTGGATCTTGGTAGATCAAATTAATGTTACTCCTAAATTGGTGGAAGTGGGCTTCAGATAGTATAATACAAAAGAAGAGACCAGTTCTGTTTCAACCTCTGACACCATAAAATAAATATTTCAAGGTGGCAGGCAAATATCAGAAAAATCCATGTTAATATTTTAGTTTCAAATTGTTACAGAACAAAGAACAGAAAACTTCAAACTTAACTATGTCACAGATTCATTGTGTCATCTGGAGATTCAAGTTCAACTTGTATCTCTGCACTGCTGCAATATTTTGTCATAAAAATCAAGATGTGGGAGCTCAAGCACACAAAAATTGAGCTACCAATTTAGAGCAAGCAGAACAATGCAGAGCGTGTGGCTATGCCAATTTAAAAGCATCTTACACTACTGTACATTTTCTTGCATAAAAAAGCAGTAAGATCCATAGATTACATTTACATAGAGACTTAATAAAAAAAGCAATTTTTCTGATTTAAATAAACCAGTAAAAATAAACCTATGTACTGCTCCAAGCTTATCAGACTTCTCATTTTGACGTGGATAAAGGAAACTTATTTCTATAAAAAACAGGAACAATCTGAAACACATTGTCACATTTTCCGACTAATGTTTCAAGTTATAATGATGTCTCTGACATGAAAAAATACTTATATGATTGTTATCTCATTGAGATCAGCTTGAAAGGCTAAAACTTCTGACGATAAATAAAACACAAGACACTGCAGGTATTTAGTTACTTCTCAAGAATAAACGTTTCAGTTCCATGTGCTTAAGAGCCACACATTGTTTGAAAAAGTATACAGGCAAAATGCATCTGAAATGATTCGTCTTTTTTTAAAAAGCAGATGTACTTTTAATAGTGCTTTAAAACGCCAACTAATTTAAAGTCAAAGGTATCTGACTTGTGGCAGCTATCACACAGTCCTACACAAAGCAGGCCACAGCTCCCCTGCAGTCCAGTTTAAGCGTTGCAAGGATTTCAAACCTTGGTTTGTGGCAGTTCCATTCTTGATCTTTTGCTTTAGCAACAGCAGCACATTTTGCACCTGCTCAAATATGACATCCACTCTTCTACCTCCCAGTTTTGTCCAAAACGTCTTCAAATCACCTGAAATACAAATTTCCATTTACAAATCTGTAAAGCTCCTAAGAAGTCTAAAACCATGAATAGCTCCTAGTGGACTTTTCAAAGGCTCCCACTTGTTTCACTGGGAGGCACTTCTGAAAAACCAGCCAGGACAGCTGTCTTCTTTCGTAGGCTTAAACCTTCACGAGTCTATTCCTAAATCTAAAAGTGAAACAGAAGTTGAGTGACAAAATGGAGTGGATTCTGATGGTCCACGATGCTCCCTTCAAGTAACTCTATAGACATCTCTACAAAGAGTGCTGTAGAAGCCTTTCTCCAAACACTAGCAAATTATACTATAATGAAATGGAAGAATATTTTCAACTGAATGAACTGAACATAATTTTAAACAAAAGTAATTTGGAAATTCTTTTATAGCTGTAACCTGCCTGGGCTACACAAACTGACTCTATTGTCCCATCAATATTTTTGGTACATTTTCTAGGGAAAAAAAATGTTCAAAATATTTTCAGATAAAACTAGTTTGATAATTTTTGTTCACCAAGTGATATCACTTGCAGTAATTTATACACCCCTTATATTGTGCTTCCTTCCTCCACTAGAAATATTTATAAAGAACATTTTGTTTAAGTATGTTCTTAAAACTACTGGTTCAGAACCTCTTCTCTTCCAAGCGTATGTGCCTTTGAGGTACTAAGGTTATTGATGGAATTTCTTGTCAAAACATTAGCAGTGCACCTTTGGCAAGGACTCTGAAAATTGAATATGGTTCAGTGTGTCACCAGACAATGCCAGAAAAGAGAACAGGCTCTCTCTCCTGGTTAATGTTTCTCCTCTTCAGTGACCAAGCACAAAAGAATAAGGAAGTCTGCTCTCCTATCCCATTTCTGGAGGCAGAGTCCACTGTCACCATCACAGGTTTACATTTCAGTTTCAGGCAGCAAATCTCAGTTGGCAAATGTGCTAGGGTGACACCTCCCCTGAAGTCATGAAATCTGCATTCTTGTAAGGCTAGTAAAAAAGTACTTTAATCATTTTTGACTTAGCAGAGAACAACTTCTGTTGCCCAAGACACCAGAAGCTAAATAATGCTATAACAGTACAGAGCCTACGGTTACTCTCAAAAGCATCATGATAGCAGTGAAGAAAATAACAGTTTTGTTACCATGACCCCAGCTGCTTATGTCACCAGCAGCTAAGAGCATAATATGTAATGTCAACAGACAATGGTGAAAGTAATTTATCTTGGAAGATAACTGATTTGACACTCTCAGCATCATTTAATGAGCTTTTGTATGCACAGAAATTTTTAAAAATTGTGAAAAGGTGTCTTGTTACGAAAAATGCCCACAGCACTTTCTGGAAACCTACACTACTGCTCCAAGAGACAACATCTGCCCTGTGCCATTCCCATCCTTTTGCTGTTCAGGACAGTATCATAAATTTTAAATACTGAGAAATAAGGATATTTAATATCTGTATTTTAAAAATATACATTTAGAAATTCTAGTAAGAAGTCCACCACTGCAGATTAAAACTGCTGTCCCTGAAAACCTGGTTTCAGATATTTCAATACTTTTACTAAGTTTGGATAGCATTGGTGGATAGATTACTTCAGATGATGGGTGACAGAACAGGTTTTCATTTCTGGATCATCAGTTATAATCTTGCATAGGCCTAAAGGAAATAAAACATATACTACTACGTGTAGTGCTCAAACCACTCACTCACCTTGGCAATGTTTTCCTAATTCTCATGATGGAGTGCCCCAAAACTCTAGTGGCAATAACTTGGTTTTTCACAGAAAAGCAAAGATTGCATATGAAGTTCATAGTATAATTTAAATTTCAAGTAAGACAGATGTCCACATCACTAATTTCTTCATTGTTAATGCTGCTATTATCAACTCCAGACAGGAAATGGACAGACACAGGATGCTTCTACCTTGTCAGCATTCAAAATGATCTCAGGATGCAGACTGGCATTTGGTGGCAATAGTTCTAAAGTTCTAAACCTGGCTGAGGCCATTATCTCTGGAGTGATTTTCTTTTCCCTCTGTAGGACCCCTGTGGCCATATTTGTCAGCACTGTGCAGGGGAATGGTGCTAGAGTAAGAAAACAGGCAGCCAAGGCCAGGGTTACTTATGCCAGCTACCGGAAAAAGTACTTGGGTGTGTGTTTCTTATAAAGGACTTGACTAACAGGTCTGACTAACATCTTCTGCATACACCATAAAAGGCAAAATATTATCATATAGTTACCATTTTCACTCCAGAAGTGAGGCCAAATATATACTACCTTCCTCTTTCCCTCCATAAAACAAAATTACATTACCTTCAATCCTGTCCTCCCTGGAACTGGAAAGCTCCTCTGCTTCAAGCACTGCAAGAGGTGCAGAACGGACAAGTAAGAGATCAGGTGAGAAATTAAAATGGTTGTAGATACTTCATTTTTCAAGATTTATACAAGTAAATACTACAGCAGGTATCAGTGGGAGCACTGTGTGAGAAAGTGTTGTGATTAAATAGTTATCCCACTTTCAGTCATCCCATGTCTTGTCAAGACCTAACTGAAGAACAGAACACTCAAATGAAGCATGCTGTGTCAGGTTTGGTTTGTTTTGGTTTTTTACACAGGCCATTTCTTACTGTCCCTCAAGCATGAAGCTGTCACAAATGACCCATACTCTCGAGCATATTCAGTGAGCCTACATAATCCCCCACTTCCTATCAGCTCACATTACTCTTTTTTTTTTTTCCCTTAAATTAATGCCATCAATACAGTGGTACTGCAACTAAACTAATTTATTTAGGAAAAAATTATTAAGGCTTACTTCGGTAAAAAAATTAACAAATCTTTTCTCAACAGATGCAAGACAAAACAAGATATCCCCACTGTAATAACACTCAGTAAAAGTAAGGCAGCATTCTTTAACCACATCAAAGACACCAGATTTCTGTCACTGCTAATGGCACAGAGAACAGAGAACGCACCAAAAGTTAAATGCTTGATTTTTTTTCTATGCTATAACTGAAAATACACTCCCATTCATTCTGCTGTAAAAATTTCATTTAGTTGACTGGGAGAAGAGGTTAAGTGAAGACTGCTGATTCCTAGAAAACTTTTCCATACCATCTGCCTAATGACTGCTCAAAACATTTTTTTTTTTAAGGCATACTTCTTTTCTCTTCCATCTTCTGGGGCAGCTGCATGGAGGGGGCTGTTACAGTCGTTGGGGTACCGCCAGCACTGAGCCCAGCTCAGGTAGGAGAGCGGTGCGTTGATCTTGCTGTCCTCCGACACCACCGCAGGGTCAGCGAGAGGGGCCTGCGGACAGGAGCCAGGCCGCCCGTCAGGCTGCGAGCGCTGCACCAGCGCTCGCCAAGGGCTGACATGGGGCGAACCTGGGGCGGGGGCAAACCTGGGGAAGGGGCAAACCTCTCCTGGGGGCGAGACTCTGATCAAGGGGCCACCCTGGGGCCGGCCCTGGGACACTCGCACACCATTCAGGGCCTCGCCCCTGCACCTTCCACCCTCCTCTGGCCAACGACTCTCAGCTCATCTGGGGATGGAGGAGAGAAAAGGATTAAGTTGTGTGGCGCCGACAAAATGTCACACCGCCATGCTGAGGCGCGGCGGATACCCAGACCCACCTACTCCTTCAGGCAGGCGTTCCTCGGGGTGTGGGAAGCAATGGGCTGCGGCCTGGGAGAGGCCAGGCCCAGTCCCCGCGCCGGGGACCAAGGACCCACACGGCTCCGCCTGCAGTCCTGGCGTTATCTACCGCCACAAGGCCCCCCGGGGCTTTGCTGGGGGGACGGTGCGGCCCCGGCAGAGCCACGGGCCAGGCTCCAGCCAGCCGCAGCAACCGCCGCCACCCCCCTCCCCCTCTTCCTCCTCGCTCGCCACCGCCCCCGAGCCCGTCCCCGCTTAACGGTACCTACGGGCGGGCCGGGTCAGGCCGAGCCGCGCTCCCTCCCGCACGCAGGCACGTCCAGGCGCCAGGAGC